GGGGGGGGGGAGGGCGCTGATCGCTCACAAGAGTTTTCGGGGTTCCGAATTGCAACAGGTATTTCTGCTGGAATTCGCGAATCACTATATCTGTTGGGGCGTGAGGCGGTAAAGGAATTAGACTGAGAAACTTTGAAAACCGGTCAACAATCACCATGACTTGTGAAAACCCGCTCTTGCTTATCTTACCCATGTCAGTGAAATCGATGGAGACGGATTCCCCGGGACCATAAGGAATGGGTAGGGGTGTGAGTAGCCCCATGGGCTTTTGTCTGCATGGTTTGATTCGTTGACAGACTTGACATTCAGCTATAAATTTCTCAGCAGTCCCTTTCATACCAGGCCAATCAAACTGTCTCAGCAAATTAGCGTACGTTTTAGCCATGCTGATGCAGAAAAAGGGTCATAAATTGCAGGAAGAGGTGATGCGAAAATAGCATCATATTAGTGCTACCGTCTTCACCCGAATAGAACGCCCGGTCATTATCGCTGCATCTGGACAGAAAATGGCCCCAAATACGGCTATAATGACTGGGCGTTATATTTGGGTGAAGACTGTAGGAGGAGCGGGCGACTGAGTGAGGGTTCAGTCTCCTGATGAGTCGGTGAAACTCCGACGAAACAGTTCGTCACAGCCCCTCATCTATTGTCCTTTTTTCCCTCTCTGCCTACTGCTTACCGGGCAGCTATAGGTCGTGCGGAGCGTATGGAAAACGCCTCAATAGGATTACGAGGTGGGAGAGGGGGGAAGAGTGGTAATGACGTTTTCTGAAAGGGGTAGCAGGTATGGTTTTTCATTTCTCTTTTGAGTGGGCTGCCACTTCTGCCTCCGCGGGCCCCCCCCCCCCCACCCCCCGGCCCTTTTAGTGATTAGGGTTTCTCGTAGGGTTTGGAGTACCTGTTTTGGAGTCCATCTCTGACTGTCGCGCCACCTTGGACCCCTGCGCACCCTCCCGTTCTGTGACGTTCAGAGCCCGCCTTTCTTGCGCAGGCACTCAACTTCCTCCCCTACCCAAACCTACTTTCTCCGCTCCCGTTCCGCCCCATCCTTTCCTCACTCCCCCCTCGCCTCTCACCTGTCCCCACCGCCCATGATGACCGGTCTCCCAAAAGTGTGAAAATACTGTGGTTGGTGCAGAAGTGTCAGAATCACATTCGGTGTCCAGGAGGAGAGGGAGACTGAGGGTGGGTATATATATAGGATGACGAGAGGGTAGGAGCAGGGAGGGGGATGGCGAGAGGGTAGGAGGAGGGAGGGGGTTAAAGGGGATCTGGGAAAAGAGTGGGGAGGGTGTGGGAAAAATACCACAATAGGGTTAGGAGGTGGGGAAGGGGAAAAAGTGGGCATGAAGTTTTGTGAAAGGTGTAGCAGGGAAGGGGTGAAAGGGTTGCCGGGGTAGGACAAGCGTTAAAATTGTGGCAGGAGGGGGAAGGACGTGAAAGGGGCGGAGAAAGCCATTGAAATTGTGGGAGGAGGTAGGAGGAGGGATAGGGGATATAAGAGATGTGGAAAAAGGCATCACGATAGGGGTAGGAGGGGTAGAGGGGGGAAGTGACTTGGGGCAAAGTGTCATTAAAGGAGTATTGGGCTTAGGGAAATTAATGAAATTACCCCAACAGGGTTAGGAGGGGTAGAAGGGGAAGAAGGGTGGGGATGGAGTGTCGTTCACGGAGAAACATCCTGTGCGGAACGGGCCCGTCAGGTTGGAAAAAGTGTGAAAATGGTGGTGGGAGGGGCAGAAGGGAAAGCATGGGTGGGGAGTAGCGGGGGGCGAAACATGGAAATTGTGGGACGAGGAGGGAATTGGAGAACGGGAATGGAGGATAAACAGCAGCTCATAAGGTAAGGAGGATGGATGGGGAAAGAGGGTGAGGATAAAAACTGATAAAAGGGGTAGCAGGCGTGGAGAGGGGGGGGTTTGGGAGCGTGTCAAAGGTGCAGTAAGAGCGGAATCTGTTTGGGGGAAGTAGCCAGACTTTGTAACTGCCTCAAGTTCAGAGGTAAATGTCGCTGCCACCGTTTATTGGCGATGGGTCATAGACTATACTTTTGTCATGTAGGGATACCTTACCAGCGCCAGGCAGATTCCCGACTCTGTACCTCAGACAGGAAAAAGTCCTTGTAATTTGTGTTCCCTCCCCTCCTGTGAAACGGTAGTCACCAGTTCGCAGTAGCTGATGCAGACCCCAGGGCTCGATCCCTAGCCCCCACCTTACCTGTGTACAGTATCTGTTCGACCCCTAGAGTTGAACCTGCGACCTGTGTATTTGTAACAGTTGGTAGGTTGTTGTAGGGTCCATAGGTAGCAGGGCTTCGATCTGTAGACCTGTCGGGTAGGAGTCTCAGTCAGGTCTAGAAGTCGTAGCTGTAGCTTTCTCGAAGAGTCAAGGTCGTAGCTGCTACAGTCCAGAAAGGTCAAGGTCGTAGCTACTGAAAGGCCAAGTCTACGGCCTTCCGGAAGGTCCGAGTAGTGGCCTTTCAGAGTTTCCCACGTTTAGGCTGAGGCAAGTGGGCAAGTGGTGAGGCAAGTGGTGTAATCTACCCGTGCTGAGTCAGCAGTCCTGGTCCAGTCAAGCAAGTACCGCATGGGACTGTGTGCACTACGGGCATGGGAAAGGGCCAGACCAACGAGCTGCAGAAGTATAAATTAAGAGGCAGCGCCCAGTCATTCATTCATTCCTGCGTGAGCCATGCGGAAGCGCTGCCATAAGCGACTTGTGTGAGGTGGTCTGCAGAGAGCCCGAAGACGAAGTGGGCAAGAGAGGAGTTAGCCATAGCGATAGGGTAGTAGCGGCCATAGCCGCCATAGCTGTAGGTAGAGTGCAGTGTGAGTGTGTGTTTGTGTTCAGAGTATCGCGTGTGGGATATCCAGGGTGATCCTGTGTATGCTAACAGAGAGTTGTGTGGGCGCTGAGTCGCCATAGCCATGGAAGTGAACTTGAATCTGAAGTCTGTTCTCGGTTACCATATCTCTGAGTTCTGAGTGGGCGCTTGTCACCAGTTTGCTGCGCACCTATTTGCATGCGTGAGAAGTGTGAATGAGAGCGAGTCTGATTGCACCTGTGGTCACCCTGACTTTTTTTTTTTTTTTTTTTTTTTCAATTAAACAGGTCCTGATGGCCCTGGCTCCATTTCCATTCTGGGGAGCACCAGTCCGGTTCCTATTCCCCGGCAAGTCAGAATAATATGTTACATCATGACGCTTCCTTCGTCTGTCCCTGACTTAATTCTGTGCGTACTTTTTCTGAAAATGAGATTTGTCCACAACAAGAATGACTATAAAGTTCAATGGAAGCTTCTTCTGGGGAATAGGGAGTTTTTTCTTTCTTTACTTAAATACATAAGATAGCAAAGCGATGGCCGAGAAATCGAATTTTCTAAATCTTTCCAATTTCGCATCTTATTTGCTTTAAGATATTAATCTCTCTCTATCCTTTATTCCTGTTTCTTGCTGCTCGTTTATGTCCCATTTGTTGTGTTTGCAGGGGCCCATTGCGTCTTTGACCGTGGGGCAGATCAAGGGGAACTGCAGAGAAACTCTAAGTCCAGTGTTGAGAAGACATCGGAGAGACTTCAAGTTGCGGTTTGCGTTGAGTGACCTGGAGATCGTATTGAGACCATCCCCAACTGCACCACGCAAGAAGAAGAAGCCGGGAAAGCCAGTCCGCGAACCAAAGCCTAGCGGGCGCGGGAAGTGGTACTTCGTTGTTAACTTCGCTCGGATCTTCCACTTTTCTGTAAATGACATCACTGTGAGAACAACGAAGGTGTGAGCTGCGTCTCTCCACTGTGCCCTGTACTTCTGTAATCGCCGATAATTGCGAACAAGGCAAGCATAGCTCAGCTTGATTCAAAAGGGCAGACAGGGTATATAATGGAACAGTATAGAATGAAGTACTATGGACCCCATAGAGTTCAAGTTTAAGAGTCTCTTTTTTTTTTTTTTTTTGTTAACAATGGCCCCTTCTATTCTGGGGGGGGCAACAGTCCGGTTGCTCATCACCGACAAGCATGTTTGTACATCCAAAGAAGGGGAGAGATCAGACTACTGTCTTCACCTGAATAGAACGCCCGGTCATTATCGCGGTATTTAGACTGGAAGTTGGCCCTAATACAGCTATAATGACCGGGCGTTGTATTCGGGTGAAGACGGTAGAGAATTGGAAATGGCCGAACCCTTGAGAGCGGCTTGTTTTATTTCATGTGCTGACAACATCTAGGCTCTAGCCGTCTAACAAGTGAGGAACTGCCAACAAGGGGGGGTCCCGCTCCCCATAAGCGTGGCCTCTCTCCGAGGGCCGCCCTGCTGGCCGGGAGGCTTACTAGCAGCACGCAGACACGCAGCAGGATGGTCCTCGGGGACGCGGGCACGGGGAGGGGACTCCTCTCCAGTTCCTCGGGCCGCCTATCAAGACCCGCACGTCACCAAGTCCTCACTCTCTACCTTCCTTGGCCTATCTTATCCTGCTCTCATCGTGTCCATCTTGTCTGTCTTGTCGTGTTCACTCCACCTTCGACAACACTGTACGTCCCCCCTGACTCTTATATGTTAAGAGTCAGTTTCAAATGGTAAATTGTTTCTTTTGTTCCTTTTTCTGTTTCTTCTCCACCGCCCCCCCCTTCCCTGAATGATTACTCTGCAGGAGTCTGGGGCCTTTCATGTTTCTCGAAGGCCGTCTGTCCGTGCGACCTTGCCTAGCGTTCTTGGTTGTGTATCTGGTAGGGTTTGATCGATCGACCTCCTTCAGGGTGATGAACATTTATTTTTCTCGTCTCCCTTTTGGTCGTCGCCTTTTCTGTGTCTTTCAAACAAGGTGGCTGCCGTAGGGCATGATCATCGTCAAAACACTGGCTGGTGCTGATAGTAAATGTACCCGCTATCTCAACTGTGGGACCTCTGACTGGTGGCCCAGCAACCGTCTTCCCCTGAATAAAACATACGGTCATTATCCCTGTATCTGGACTAAAAGTTGACCCGGATGCAGGCATGATTCCCATACGTTCTATTTGGGTGAAGACGGTAGCTGAGTTATGTATAGTACGTTTGACTGGGGTGAAGTTTTAGGAGATGTCCTGCCTTCATGGAATCAGAGCTATAGAATTTCTTGAGGCACCTGCAATGTCCCTGAGCAGCTAGTGGTTGTAGGCCTATTGAGCTCTACTAACACAAGACCAGCACCAGCATATCTATATATCCGTCGCTGAGACACTTTCTGTCGGTACGGACTTATTCTGGGCCCTCACCAGAAGCCGTGGGTTCGAATCCCGTTTTTCCCGAGAGGTATGGCGGAGTGGCTGACGGCTAGACCAGCCCAGCTGGTAAGCTGTCCCCAGTTATATCTACGTCTCATTCGTGTTACATGCTGTGCTTGCAACAGGCTGACGGGCCATTTTCAGGCCCGTGTCGTTTTCATCCCGAAACCCTGAAAACAAGGCCTACAGGCCCTGTGTCGTTTCAGCCTGAAAGCCTGAAAACAAGGGCCTACAGGCCCTGTGTCGTTTCAGCCGAAAACAGGGCCTTTCCAGCCCTGAGTCTTTTCAGCCTGAAATGGAGGGCCATTTTCAGGCCCTCATAAGATCGACCTGCCCTGAAACTCAGGCACCAGACCAGGGTTTTAGCTCAGGCCATTTTTGGCCTATTTTCAAGACAACCTTTGTTTGAGCTTCAACCCCAGGGTCTGGCACGTTTTGGCATTGGCAAGAGCAGCCTCCTGGACGGGCCAGCACTATATAAGACTGGCCCGCCCTGCAGGCTGCAGGTAGTTCCTAGGTACTTCCCAGGCACTTCACGTGCAGTTCAGGAGGCAGGAGGTAGTCTTCAGGATTCGGCAGCAGCACTCTGGAGGAGCGCTGCAGGAGTAGTAGTAGCGCTAGCAGTAGTCTTCAGCGCTGGGCGCTAGTAGCGTTAGCAGTAGTCTTCAGCGCTGGGCGCTAGTAGGAGCTAGAGTAGTACTGGAGAGAGAGAGAGATTGGGCGGAGGCCAGGGAGACTTACCTGCAGCGCCATAGATCCAGCTCCGTCTTCGAGGTACCTGCACCGCAGCGCCGACTTCACAGGTTAGTACCTGGCACATGGGAGAGAGAGAGAGAGTTCTTCTTCTTCCTCTTCTCAGTCCACCATCTCCCTCTCATCCTCTCGCTACCTGACTTTGCTGCATCAGCAGACTATGAGAGAGCGGGCTTGGTGACATTCGGATCCAGACTCGACATTGGGCTTCAGACATTTTGACGAGGGATTATTTGGGACTTGTAACAAAGACTTGGTGTTGACGACATTCCCATCTCTCCCCCTCTTCTTCGTCGGTTCCCCTCCTCTTCGTCTGTGCATGATCTGGACCTGGTGCATTCTTCCTGTGTGTAGTGCCAGGCCCCTTCACAGCTTGTGATGAGGATGATGTATGTTTGGTCTGCGTTGCAACATTGATTGGGCTAGTCCTTGGTATTCTAGCATTCTGCTGCGCGGTCTTGCACTATGTGCTAGAGGTCAGTCCCGGTCAGGTCAGGACTTGCATCAAAGTCTTCCCCTGCGCTATTAAGCACCATGTTTGTATGTATCAGGATGTACACTGCTTGTTGAGATTTCACTTGCACTGCATTGTCCATTCAGTCCTTTTTATCACATTGCGGATCCTCGGTTGTTTATGTACATCGCCCAACTGGGCATGTAACATTCGTATTGGTGTGTGACATCTGTGTGACATCTGTGCTTTACTCTGACTCTGATTAGTAGGTGTGAGTTTAAGCCTTTAAGGTACTGTCACTATTTCGTATGTGGTGTTTGGATCATGATCTTAAACTGTTTTGTGATGCACACAAATGGTGTGTTGTGCAGCAAAGAAGTCCCATCGTGCCTAGTGTTAGCAAAAATGGGAGAGAATTGACCGGATTAAAAAAAATAAAAATTATTAAAAAATGAACAGAATAGAATTCAAGAAATCAGTATTGTTTTGAATGTTTTCACAATTTCAAGAAGCAGGTTTCGGCAGATGGTCTTCATCCAAATGTTGCTTTATTTTTGAGGTATTCGCTGCTTGCATGATGCACACACTTTTGCGCATCCAGTGCGTATGCAGGTATGTGCACTGTACGTACACACTTCATGCGCACGTATGATGCACACCAGTGCCTATGTAGGCATGCACACTGTCCATATACACCTCATGCGCATGTATGGTGCTTGTGTTTTTCTTGAGCCAGATTTATTTGGACTCTGAAACAAGGCCATGGCTGCCAATGATCTTTTCTTCAGTCTCAATTTTGTACGTGTCGTATGCCATATTGTCTGCTTGTTCCCCTCCATTTTGCTGCAAGCGGTGCATTATGACTTTGTCCTCTGCCTTGTGTCATTGGTGGCTTCGTGTTGTTGTTTTTTTTTTTTTTTTTTTTTTTTTTTTTAAAAAAAAAAATCCCTTGTAATGAACTCAGTATGGAGGAAACTCGTCAAGTGTCCAAATTCAAGATGACTATAAAAAATAAAAATAAAAAAATTCAAGATGACTCGGCGCTGATAAATGTCTCCAATACTCGTGAAATGTAACCTGTAATACAATGTCTCTCGTAACCATAGGACGAAGGAGGTAGGGGGGAGGTTAGACTTAGAGGGTGGAAAGAGAATGTAATATCTATCCATCATTGTCCACGTAGACAAACACCATCATTCCCGCACTCCTCCTTTGGGCGTCTCTTGTTACACTTGCCGTTTGTTCCTCGTAGTCAGCAGTCCGGTTGCTCATCGGTGGCTCTTTAGCATTGGCCATTTCACTCATCTCTCTTTGTTCAGCAGTCCGGTTGCTCATCGGTGGCTCTTTAGCATTGGCCGTTTCACTCATCTCTCTTTGTTCACGCTTTCTTTGGTGGCTCTTCTCTTTTTTGAAGTTTGTTCGTTCTTGGTGACGTCCAGTTGATTTTTTTCTCATTCGCTTTCTGTCACTTTATATGTACGCTGATGTCTCTCTTGCTGTGCCTTTGTGAGCATCTCTTGTTTCACTTGCCATTTGTTCCTGGTAGTGCTCAGACCACTTCTTAAACCACCGGTGCCTTTGTTGGTTCGAAAATACTGGGCCTCGTCCTCGGTGGTACTTTATGGGGGAGACGAGTATTGTGGTGGGTAGTGGATCTCCGTTGTTTGCTTTGGCTATCTTGCTTTCTCTTGCCGACTTTATGCTCTCTCCCATTCTGCCTCCTATCTGGTTCCCAATCCGCTTGGGACCCGTCTTAGGGTATACTCTCACTGGATTGCAATACAGCAAGATTGGTGGGGTATGAGGGTGTTTTTTTTTTTTTTTTTTTTTTTTGTGGTGTGTGGAAAACCGCTGACCGGTAGGTGCCAACCAGCCGACAGGTCGGCTGGTCGGCAGCTGACCAATCAAGGGCCGCCGACCGTTGGTCTCTTGTCGACTTTATGCTCTCTCTCTTTCTGCCTCCTATCTGGCTCCCAATGCGCTAGGGGTACGTCTTAGGGTATACTTTCACTGGATTGCAATACCAGCAAGATTGGTGGGGTATGAGGGTGTTTTTTTTTTTTTTTTTCGCGGCGTGTGCACAACCACTGACCGGTAGGTGCCAACCAATCAGGGGCCGCCGACCGTTGGCCTGTGGAACTCTGATTCCCACACCTTAAACCACCAGTACTTTGTAAAGTTGTGCCCGTTAATGCGCCCCAATTTTAGGAAACGTAAGGGCTACTACAGGAGCGCCCAAATTCATCCGACTAGAAACATTTCTATTCTATTTTTTCCTGCGGTCGATAGCTGGGTCAAGTACTGGTGGTTTAGTCCTTGCATTGTGTTCCCCCATGCTTTGGGTCATGGGTTCTGATCAGATCTCGTCCCTGGTTGCTTCTCACCTGCCGACAACAGCAACATTCTCTCTTTTTTTTCTAACCTTTTAAAACAGGGCGACGGCCTTGAGATATCATCATCGAACTGACCGGCCCTAGGTAATTGAGAGCTGTCGCATTTAGGTATGATTAACTCATCTGCTTCGATATGAAGCAACAATCTCTCTCTCTTTTCTTTCCTTAAAAAGAAAAAGGGCGATGACCTTGAGATATCATCCATCGAACTGACCGGCCCTAGCTCATTGAGAGCTGTAGCATTTTAGTATGATTTGGCAGATTTTTTTTTGCTCCTGTGCTTCGATATGAGTTTGCAGTTTGAATTTAGGTCTGCATTTCAACAGTTCAGGGGGGTGTACCAACGGAGCGAGGCCAATAACATTCGCTCACTCTGTGCAGATTCCAGATGTCGCTTTGCAAATCAAGGAGCTCGATCTTGATATCTTCAGCGTTTCGGCAAACTCAACTTCGCTAAATCTGAAGCTGGAAGCCTTGCCATGGAACATCGTGCTGAAGGAAGAGACTCCGCCGGCTCCAGTGACAGGTCCTAGCAGCCCGCTTCGTCTGGGTTCGGGTTTTCTGCTCAGTGCGCCTAAGCCTGCACCGAATCTGGAGGATTCTTTGCCGATCTTCTCCTTGGAGCACTTGGTGATCGATGTACAGCTTGATCACGAGAGGTGCGTCGGTGATGCCCTCCCTTCTCCTTCCCCCTTTTTTGCTGTGTTTGGCTCTGCGCTATCCATCCTATGCCATCATGATAGGTGGCATTACACACCTTGATTTTGGCAAAACTGGGCCATTACTGGCCCATACACTGGCATACAGGGCCTTGGGCGGATGTTTTTTGCGTTTTGGTTTGTTGATGCCGCAATCTGCTTTTCCCATTTGTGGGTCTTGGGTCTGACTGTTGGGACCATTATTTGACTGTTGGAAGTTGGGAACCATTCGTATTTTGGAATTTGGGACCATCATTTGTTGGGACCATTTATCTGGTGGGCTAGGTAGGCTACCAGAGTGGCCGGGGACCACTTGCCCATCCGGGAAAAAAAAAAAAAAAAGAAAGTACTAGGCTACCAGAGTGGCCCGGGACCACTGGCCCTGCCGGGCCCCAAAAAGTAAAAAATAAAAATTAAAAGTTATTTTTTTCTAGGCTACCAGAGCGGCCCGGGTCCCCTTGCCCGGTCGGGCCAAAAAGGAATAAAAAAATAAAAAATAAAAATTATTTTTTGATTTAAAAATTTTATTTTAAATTTGGTAAAAAGTTTCGATGTGACCCTGAGGCAAAAGTTGTTCAGTTTATTTTTCTGCATAACATAGTAGTTTTTCGGATTTTTTGGATTTTTTTTTTTTTTTTTTGGCTGGGACCTTTCTGGTCGTTGCACGGCCGGGCCGCCCGGGAAAATAGGGTGACCCAGGCGGCCCGGCTGGTAGCGTAGTTTTTTATTTGATTTTATTTTAAAATTGGCAAAGAATTTTGATGTGACCTCGAGGCAAAAGTTGTTCAGTTTATTTTTCTGCATAACATTTTTTTTTTTTTTTTTTTTTTTTGCTGCATTATCCGTTAGAACTTGGTACCATCGTCATCTGTTTGTACCATTATCTCTTGGGACTAGTATTTGTTGGAACAATAGGCTATGTGGCTGTTGTACTGACCTGTGCTGCGTGTGAATCGGCTAGGGGCTGCGGCACAGTGGTCAGGCACTTCAAAGTCAATTGCGGTGAGGCTGGGTTCAATCTTGATGAGCGTCTTCTTGAACTGGAGATTGAACCCTCTCCGCTAAAGCAGACCTTGGAGAATCTCGACCCTGCACAACTGGGCTTGGAGGATGTGCAGCAAGGAAAACCCATAGCAGACAAGCAAAAGGCGCCCGATCCATACAGTGTTACTCCAATGAAGGCAAAGACGCAAATTGTCCCAGAGGAGGTAAGGGACTCGAGAGCTTCTGCTCCCGCGATGTCAATTTGGTCTCGTAAGACTCACAGATGGCCTCTTTCACGAGTGTGTGCTTTGGCTGTGCCAACTGCGCCAATATGGTCTGCATCAGGTTTGTGCTAGGTTTGGTATTCTGCTGCAGCTCTCCTTTCTTAGCTGTGTTTATATGTGTGTGTGCTTGCGTGTGTGTGTGTGTGTGT